CTCCTAGCCCGAAGGTTCACACACCACCGTCACAGTATAAAAAGAACCGACTATGAAAATAATTAACCTATATCTTGCTTCAGAAGTGGCAGCTAAGGTCAGTAACACTGATGCTAAAATAGAAAGTCTGATTAATGGTTATATGAAAATGCTAGAAACCTGGATGCTCAAATCAAAAGGACCTAAAGAACCCAAACCTGCCAACTGTAGATACTGTTATCAAGATGAGACTGGCATTGAAAAGAATAAGAGAACTAGAGTTTACAAGAATGAATCTAAGAAGTTCACTCTTTATCGAAGACCGGCAGAAATGGGATGTTCTGATAAAAAAAGCAACCTTGGTTATTGTCACCAAAATGGAATCAATGTTGAAAAAGATAAAACAGACCCACCGGCCAATAGAATTGGGGTTGAACTGGATGAACCTAAGACATTTGATGACTTCCAAGAATCTGCTGATACAGAATGACCTGATGAAGGAATTAATTTTGAACCCTACAACTCAAATGGAATTGATATCGAAAAGAATGATCACAATGCATTTGTTTATTACCAAAAGTCTGCAAATATAGGTGATGCTAATGAAACATATCTGATTGAACCTGGCTATTGGAAAGATGTTGGTGCTAAAAGATTGAAGTAGAAGCCATTAGTAAATTGGAATCAAATAAATTAGATCAAAAGAAGAAAAAGGAAAAATGAAATTCACCCACAAGGCTTGTGGGCATCAACAATGATGAAACTGATAATGAAAGCAATCACAAGATATTGGTTGTTGATAATAGTAATGATGAGGAAGTGAATAGTTCACTGCTCAAAAGGTTTCTGAAAAATGAAGCCTTGCATTGAGAATACAACAAATGGTTGAAGAAAGTTACCAAATTTCAGAAGATCATATATACAATAGAAAGGCTCACCAAATGAAATCTGCCAAAGGTTTTGACAAAGCCTGCGAATCCTAGAATGAAAGGGTTAGTGAGTATAAAAAATGAATAAAAATCAGAAAATGATAAAGAGTCTATACCTAATCAATTCTGGAGAACCTGCTCTACCTGCCGAGATGGAACTTACACTTGGACCTTGTTCTTAAAATGAAATTGGGCTTGAAAAAGATAAGGGTAAGAAAAGAAAGTCCTGATAGATAGCATTGGCAAAACTCATCGTAGATCTTGCTATCAAAATAATATCAACACCAAAAACAGAAGAATGAAAGTGGATGTTGAGAAAGTCGATGACAATAAAGAAAAAGATTGTGAAGCGTTAGTAGATGACGATGAAGTTCTTAAAGAAAAGAATACACTATCCTGATACTTACTGGCACGTGACTTATGCAACTGAATATTTGACCCTGGTAGAAATTTTATAAAGACAATTAGTAAACAAACGTTTTTAATTAATTAATTAAAAAAAAAATAAAAAATTTTTTTTTACCTTGAAATTGTTTGTGAATGTGCATAACAGTTGTTAAGGGCATATGACAAGGGTAATTTTGTTGATTCACTTCATATGAGACATGAACGTGTTTTTTTTTGTTGTGTCATTTTTTTTGTTGTTCTCTTTTTTTGTTTTTTTTTGATTTTAGTTTTGTCTGTGAATAGTTTTAGTTTTAGTTTATTCTTAGTATAGTTTTATATAAAAAAAAAAAAAAAATTTTTTTAGTATCTTACTGCACCCTCAAGAAAAGAAACGTGACCAGATGTACTTGAAGACCTGAAGACCTACATAATAAATTTTCACAGAAAGTGAAAAATTGAATAAAAGAGAATTGTCATAGACAAAATGTAACTTCAAGACCATGACTAATTAATGTGAAATGATATACAAATTATTATGCAAGAGACTATTACACTATAATGCTTGGGACCTGACTTATAAATGATAATTGTATGCAAGCAAACATGTTCAAACCAGACCCTATATATAAAAGTATTAATAAAGATCTTATAAAAGCCAAGCCCCCATTAACAATCTCATTGAAGAAAAAGACACTTATCTAATTTGGTATGATATCTGTCAAGGTAATATTATCTTGTCAGGTAAAGTATGGCCATAAGGAAGAAAAAACACATGAATCGATAGAAGAGTTAATAAATGAATTAATAGAATTGATGAATAAAGAACTATGATAGCGTAGAAGCCTTCATTTGACTTGTCTTCTTTTTCTATTCTGTCAAATATTTTAATAAGAATGGCTGTGTGAAAGAAGTAGGGCATTAGATTAGAATGGTTGTTTAGCTAAAAGTTCAATGGCGATATAATAAAAAAAGAAGATGGGAATTAAATTAGAATTTTTGATTTTATTATTTTCTTGATC